GCGACATACTCTGCTTCTGTTGTCGAAAGCGTAACGCATTTCTGCGTTCTGGAAAACCAAGACACAACGCCTCCTCCGCATGTTACTATCATTCCCCCTGATACCGACCTACGGTCTGCTGCCTTGCTCGCAAAATCCGCATCAGCGTACCCCTGCAAGCTGAATCCTTCTACCGTACCTCTCTGAAATGAAATACCCATGTAACTCGTCCTCCTCGCATACCCTAATATACCCATCGCTGTATCCCAGTGCACCCGCTTCGGAGACGCGCAATATCTAGCTACTGCCCTTATGGCATTCGCAATGTCTGGCCTAATCTGAGTCGCCAGCCACATCAAAGATCCTACTAGCTCACAAAACGGAAAATCTGTCGCCTCTTCATCCGCATCAAAGTCAGAAAGCTTGACCCCCGAAGACATGGGAACGCTCTTACCCCCTGCTACTCCATACTCTGCTGCTAGCTCATCCGTGAAAGTCTGCTGAGAAATCGTCAGCCTACCAGTCTCCTTGCTTCTCTCGTAAAAGCACCCAGAATACCATCTCAACTCTCCCAGGTTCTTCACCGGCACGGACTTGTTAAGGTCGGCGCCAAACTTGTCACATTTCTCCCTCTCTCCAACAGCAAAAATATCATCTACATGTACTACCAAAATCAAAACAACACACCCCCCTTCAATCAATCGAAACACACAAGCATCGGCCATGCACTGCTCAAATCCCAACGCAACCAAACACCTCTTCAGCATTGCATGCCACTGCCTAGATGCCTGTCTCAAGCCATACAGACTCTTGCCTAGTTTTACAATCATTCCAGATAGAGCTCCACATCCCTGCGGCAATCGCATGTATACGTCTTCTTCCAACTCCGAACGCACAAAAGCTTGCTCAATATCGAAATGACACAAGTCGAGGTTCAACTCGCACGCCAACGCTGCCAACATCCTAACACACGAAACAGAAACGGTAGGCGCGTGCAACTCTCCAAAGTCAATGTACTCTCTCTGCATATCACCTCTCGCTACAAGTCTCGCCTTGACCTTAGTGGCCCGTCCAAACTCATCTGCCTTCCAATTGAGTACCCACTTAGCATTTATCGCGTTCTCCACTGATTGCTACTTCGCCGGAGTAAATGTACCCGCTTCCAGCAACCCGAAAA